ATAAAAATATAATTTATGTTATATTAAACCTTGTATTTATGTATTAAAAAATGCACGCATATAATGTTTGCTGAGAGGCATCTTCAAGCAAAGATTCTAAGTCTGCGTTTCTCTCATTTTTGGATGGCAGGGGTATGTATTTCAACTCTGCTTTTAGAACAGACCACTAGATATTCACTTACTCCTAATGTGTCATACCACAAGCCATTTTCAAAGAGTGCAGGTCTTAAGAACAGGCTATTGAAGTCAGAAATTTATATTTAGAAGAGCTTAGTGCCAATTGCTATACTATTTAGGCTAAGAAGTTTCTTCCTGGAAGATTAATAATACTCCACACAAAGTGCAAGAGGAATACAGCAAGTTTTCCAAATTAGCATGGTTGTTCTAGACCTATTCCTGACTAAGGACGTTGTCTGATGTTAAAGTTGCCACAGACCTTTTTCCATCTCAGAATAACTACACGGAGAAAACTCTAACTAAGCGTTTCCAATGGACAAGTACCAGACTTTGTTAGTCAAGTGATTTAGCAGTTACCTGTATAACACGCCTGCTCAAGCCTGTTCTTTCTGCCAGTTTCTGAAGCGTTTGTGCATCTGGATTGTTGTCCTGAGCAAACTGTGCTTGCATAACCTGAAAAGGCAAGATAAGAGACTGCAGTTTTTTGTGTGCAGCCCCGAGAGCAGCATTAGAGACTCCTCTCAGACTGTGGTCATCCTCCTTGCCTGTTCTTAGGAAACCGTTGTATTTGCTAGTCCCCAGACAGTCCCCAGTAGATTAAGGGAAAAAAAAATTCTCCCAAAGTCAAAATACAAGCTCCTTACTATGCTTAACTGAGCCGAGACATTTACCAGAAATGAAAGAAATTAATAAAGTAGTAAGCAGTAGTAAAACGTGGAGGAGGTGCTCTGTCATGATTACATTAAAAGAACTGTGGGAGAAAATTCCCTGCAAAGCAATTCAAAGATGCTTGATGAAGAAAATGCCTATAGCAGCAGACCACAGCACCCCGCATAAGGAAGGAATCAACTTTGATCCACCTCTCCAAACTTGTCAATCACCATCTACATCTTGTATTGTATGGAGCAACTTAACCCTCTCTTCAGCTGCGTGGAGGGTGCAGGCAACTGGGAAACACTGTTGTGCCTCACTTACCTTTGACTGACCTGAGGAACACAGAGGCTCCACCTTAGCTCACCTGCACTAGATAACTGTTTGGTTACACTCATATTTTTACAGAAAAATTGAAGTGAACACTTGTCATTAGGATATGAATTACATTTTTGAGGAAGTAGTTGTCAACTTAGCCTGCATCCTGAACAGTTTTTGAGCCTGTAAGAGTTTACCTTTTTTAAGGAAGTAAGGCTTCATGGATTTCTGCAGGGTATCTTCAGCAACTTAGTAAACTGTAGTTTCTCATTTCTGGACTTTGTCCCTTGATGGTCTGCAAATTTTGCCTGCTTCATCTTTGAAGGTTCAGACTACTTTTCTCCACATTCACAAATGTTGAAACTATTTACTTTCCTACTGTTTCATAGAAAGGCATCAAGAAGCAGGGACATCCTTTTGTACAAGTACTTCATGATGTGTGTTACTACATGCTGACAGTCACTGATCCCTCTGATGCTTCTCTTGCTGGAAGTCTCATACCAGCATCAAGGACAGGTACAGAGACAGATGCACTGAGCAGGTAGCAAGGGTCATTAAATAACAAGAGGCCCTAAGATCCCAAACACCTCCTGAAGTAGGTTACAATCTATTTAAAACGGGGGGGGGGGGGGGGGGGCGGGAGAG